CCTCTTCTCTTCTCTCTTCCCGTCACTTCCTCTTCTTTTCTTCTTCTCCTTCTTCTCCTATCTTCTTCTCCCGCTGCTTCCTCCTCCAGGTTTTCCTTTCCTTCTTTATTTTGCATCTCGTGTTCATCCTCTCCCTCTGGTTCTTTTTCCCTCGTCTCCGTCTGCTTCCTCTCAGTCTTATTCTCCCTCTCCTCCTTCATCTTCCTCCTCTTACTCGTCCTTTTCATTTCCCTTCTTTCCGCCTTCCCTATCTTCTCCTTTCTCTCCCTTCTACTATCTTCTCTTCCTATCTTTTCCTGTTCTTCCCCCACTGCTTTCTCTTCGTTTTCCCCTCCCTCTTTCTCCTTCGTCTCCTTCCTCCCCCTTTCCTCCCCGATCTCTCTTTTTTCCTCTTCTGCTTCATTTTCCCATGTTAATATTTTCCTTCCCATTCCCCTCCCTCTCCCATTCCTCTTCCTCATTTCCCTACGCCATCCGTTCTCTTCCCAATCTCCCCACTCTTCCTTATCTCCCATCTACCTATCGTGATCACCCCCTACCCCCACCCCCACCCCCACCCCCCCTCCTTTTAGCGAAGCAGGTCGATTAGTCTTGAGCTTCGTCGTCTCTCGGATGTGTCAACGCGAGGCCCTAATGAGCAGAGTGTTGATGTCCCCGTGGGCGTCAATGCGAAAAGAGGGGAGAGGTAGGGAGAGAGAGAGAGAGAGAGAGAGAGAGAGAGAGAGAGAGAGAGAGAGAGAGAGAGAGAGAGAGAGAGAGAGAGAGAGAGAGAGAGAGAGAGAGAGAGAGAAGAGAGAGAGAGAGAGAGAGAGAGGGACCAGAGAGAGAGAGAGAAGAGAGGGAGGGTAAAAGAGGACAGAGAGAGGAGAGGAGTGAGAGAGAAGAAGAAGAGGAGGGGAGAGGGAGAACAGAGACAGAAAGAGAGAGAGAGAGAGGCAGAGGCATGGAAAGAGAGGGAGTGAAAGAGAGATAAGGAAAGAGAAAGAACCAGTGACTCAGACTTTCGTCTATTTAAGCTATACATAAGTAAGACTATGATATATGTCAGTTTTACTTCAGTGTCTCTGTTTATTATATTCCTTTTCTTTCTGCTTCTTTTGACATCCCTCGGTCCTTCCAATCTGTGTGTGTGTGTGTGTGTGTGTGTGTGTGTGTGTGTGTGTGTGTGTGTGTGTGTGTGTGTGTGTGTGTGTGGCAAAAGCACTCGTGTGATTAAGTTAAAACAACGAGCATAACTGAAAATTGGATATACGGTCCCGTAGAATTTCCTCAGAAATCGTGAATCTTACCACCCTTCTGTCCTCTTCGTCCTAGCTATTGTTCTTATTCTTTCTCTTTTGCCTGCTTCACATCCTCCTCCTACTTATTCTCCCTTTTTTCTTCCTTTCGGTCTCCATATCAAGCTCCTCTTAAGTTTTATTTTCCCGTCTTCATTCTCCTCCTATTCTCCATTCGCTCCCCCCCCTCGCCATCATCTTCCTCCACCACCAGCCTCACCAACTCTACCTTCTTCACTTATGCTTGCTTCCCCTTTTCTCCTCTTTTTTTATTTTCTACCTTTTCTTTCCGCTCCCCCTCCTATTCCGACTCCTGCACTTTCTCCAGCTTTATCTCCATTTATTCCTCTTCATTTTGCTTTTCCTTTTCTGACTTCTCCTTCCTCCCTTCCTCCCTGTCTCCCATCATCACCATCATCGTCATCGTCATCACTAAAAAATTTATTTTCTTGTTATGTTTTCATTTGTTTATTAGCAGCGACTCTTCAAAAAACGTAATTAGAGAACTGCCTTAATGACCGACGTGGTGATAATGGCATGTTATTACGTCTGAGGGTTTTAGCGGCCAGTGATTAACAGATACCAACTCTGTTAATTATCAAGCAAAGATTATTTATCGGCTTTTTTGAGATCATATTAAAT